CTTCAATTCCTTTTTCCAGTATTACAGTAAGTAGAAATTCTAGTACTCTGTTGATATGAGCAGTGAGAATGGATAATCCAAACCTCAGCCTTTCACTGTTAAATATACGTTTAGCTGTTAATTTTTGATCGTTTCTCTTTATCAAGTTGAGACAGTTCTTTGATTCCTATTTCTCTAAGTTTTTTTCTTTTTATGGATCATGAATGAGTGCCAAATTTTGTCAAAGTGTCAAATTGTGATTATGTGATCATGTGATTTTTTCTGTGACCATGGTGTATTGCGTTGGTTGATTTTAAAGTACTGAACCAAACCTTCATCATGGTATAGAATTCATTTTATATTTTGCTCAATTATATTTGCTGGTATTTTGTCAAGAGATTTTTTTGCATCCCTACTCATAAAGAACATACATTTATGAATATTTCTCTTTTTTTGTAGAGTTTTTGTCAGTGTTTGCCACATTGTAATGCTAGCTGTTCTCAAACAGTTGTGAGCTGGAATAAACTGGTGTAGACCCTGTTGATTCTTAAGATACTGAGTAGAAACCTCAGTTGTCTTCTGGGTCTACAAATTTCTTTTTTTTATGAATTTTCAAGCTATGGATTCAACTTCCTTAGTAGTCAAAGTATCTATTTCACACTGAGTTACGACAGTTTTTTCAAGTAATTGGTCCATGTATCCCAGCTGTCAAATTTATGCACAATAATTTATACTTTTTGATATTTTAAGAGTCTATGTTATATTTCATACTCCATTTTTCATAATTTTATGTTCTCTATGTATTTCTTTATGTTTTGCTATATGTTTGCCAGGGTTACTTACCTTTATCTCTAAAAATTAAATTTATTTATGTGTGTATGTGTACGCACAAGTTTTTTGTTTCCATGTACTTCTGTATTTTACGGTTTCAATTTAACTAATTTTTTCCCTCACATTTAAATTTGCTTTATTAAGTTCTTTTTCTGAGTTTTTCATATGGAACCTCAGATTATGGATTACATTTTTGTCTTTCTTAATGTAGGCATTGAGTACTACTGATTTTCATGCCAACACTACTTTCTCCATGTCTCCCAAACTTGATATAATTTTCATTTCCTCTCAGTTTGTGTGTTTGTTAGATTTTCCCAAGGTATCCTCTTTGACTCATGGATTATTTAGAAATGTGTTGTTTATTTTCCAAATGTTTGCAATAAGATTTATTTATTTATTTATTTTTTTTTTTTTTTTTGGTTTTTTGAGACAGGGTTTCTCTGTGTAGCTTTGCGCCTTTCCTGGGACTCACTTGGTAGCCCAGGCTGGCCTCGAACTCACAGAGATCCACCTGGCTCTGCCTCCCAAGTGCTGGGATTAAAGGCGTGCGCCACCACCGCCCGGCAAGATTTATTTTTAATCTATCTGTTATTGTTTTCTAGTTCAAATCCAAATATGCTCAGAGAACATATTTTGTTTGATTTCAATCCTTTATATTTGTAGTTAAAAAAAAATGACTCAAGATATGGGCTGTGTTGGTACAAGTTTCATGGTTTCTTGACAAAAGCAAGCATCTGCCTGTTGCTGGGTGAGATGTTTGATAGGGACTGGGCCCTAGTGGTTATTACTGTTGAGTTCTTCCGTGACCTTGCTGGTTCCCTAGCTGTTATAGAGAACACTGACGGAAGTATTTCCACCCCACTTAGCAGTGGATTGACTTTCCCTTTCAGTGCTGCTCATTATTACAGCCGAATTCTTGTCAGCTTGCTGTTTGGTATACACACATTTAGGGTGGCTACATCTTTTTGGTGAACTGACTTTTTCATCATTACAGAATGTCCCTCCTTGTCACCGGTAATTTTCTTTACTCTGAAGTCTTGGTTTTCTTTCGTTATATCTGCTTATGACTGCTTTCCCCACCCTTTCACTTTCAATTCCATGTCTTATAGTTGTGAGGAGATTCTTGTGAACAGAGTACACTCAAGTCTTGGTTTCTGATCTCTGCCCATCTCTGTCTTTTAGTTGATGTATTGGATCATTTGCATTTGAATGATTATTGCTATGTTAGGTGTTAATTTTAATTTAATTTTATTCTTTTATGCTTGATGTATGCTTTCACTTTTTCATTTGCTTTAAACTCACATCCTGTGTTCCACTTGAGTATTTTTTTGCATTTGCATTTTTATTTATCTTAGTGCTTTAGATGCTTTCTCTTCCTATAGCATTTCTCTGATTGTCTTGGGTATTGCGTTGTATTTGGATAATTACCAGCTCCCCCACCCCCCACAAACCAGTTTCAATGAAATCTGGAAATATCATTTCCTCTTTTGTCCATTTATCCTTCTTCAAGCAATGGAACTTTGTCAAATGTTTCCTTTAATATATTCTGAGCCATGTCAGAGTGTTGCTGTTGCTTTTTCTTTTTCTTTATTTTGCTTTAAACATAAAGAACCCAAGAGGAGAAGGCATTGCATTTATCTATATTTTTTGTTTTTTTTCTTTTTCTCTGGTGTTTGAAGGTTTCTTCTGTCATTCTTCTCTTCTAGCTATTCTTCTACCATAGGTTTGTTCTTTGCTTTACTTCACTAGAAAATCTATCAATTTCTCCTTATACTCAGAGAATATGTTTCCTGGATATTTTTTTTTTTCAGTATGAGAGTGACATGCCACTGACTATGGACTCAACAGCAGCTTCTCCTCTGCTGTCCACAGAGTTCTTCCTCCTTTTATAGGAGTGGTGTCCTTTGTTGATTTCAAAATTATTTTTTCTAGCTGGGCCTGGTGATATAGGCCTGTCATTCCTGGGACTTGGAAGACTGAGGCAGGAGGATTTCAAGTTCAAGGCCTGCCTGGGTTCAAAGCCAGCTTGAACAACTTAGCAGGATTCAGTTTCAAAAGTTAAAAAGAGGTTTGGGAAGTATAGCTTAATGGAAGAATGCCTATGGAGAATACATGGTGTCCTAAGTTCAGTTCTTAGAATCAGTAAAAAACCAGAACAAACAAAACCAAACCAAGCCAAAACAACAACAACAAAAAAACCCAGACCAAACCAAACAAACAAAAACCCCAACAAAATCTGATTTCCTTTTAAGTTTTAAAAATTTTATTCTTCCTTCCTTCCTTCCTTCCTTCCTTCCTTCCTTCCTTCCTTCCTTCCTTCCTTTCTTCCTTTTTATCTTTCTTTCCCTCTTTTTTTTGTGCCATTTAGCACTGGCTAGCCTGGAATTCTCCATATAGCACAGGATCACTTCAGACACACAGAACCTTCCTGCCTTAATTTACTGAGCGCTGGGGTTGCAGGCATGCATCACCATGCCAGATTTCTTTGTCATTAATTTTAAGAAGTTTGACTATGGGGTCTGGGAAAATGGTTAGTCTTTAGAGTCATCCTGAAGATCCAAGTTAGATCCGAGAATCCTTATAAGAAAGCTGGGAATGTGCTGGCATACCTCTGTAATTCTAGTAGGGAGGCAGAGAAAGGCAGATTCCTGGGGCTTTCTGGACAGCCTGCCTAGCCTAATAGGAAACCTCAATGAGAGATCCTGTCTCAGAAAACAAGATAGGAGACTCCTGAAGAACAAATCTGGGACTGCCCTCTGGCCTCTGTGTGTGTGTGTGTGTGTGTGTGTGTGTGTTCATTTTGTTCATTTTCCTCTGTTGTTTAACTTAGGTCCTTTCTGTTCTTCAAATTCAATTCAGGTAATATTCTATTCTTCATATCCAATGATTCTTTCCTATCTTCCATTCATTTGGCTATTGAATTCATATATATATATATATATATATATATATATATATATATAGTATGTATATGCATAGTTGGTTTAATAAAGGTATCTCCAAGATCCCTACCTCTGCTTCTCTAGTGCTTGAATATAAGGTGTATGACATCACACCTGTTATAATTAGAAATATTTTAATATAGGCTTAAGCATGAGAGTTAATAGAGAAAGATAATTGTTCAGAAAGATACACCTAAGAGCAGGGTGTGAATTTATCTAACAGAAAGTAATAATTTATTCTATATTTCAGTCATAAAAATTTCCTCATATTTTCTATTGCCTGGATGAGACATTTTTAATTGTTTCAAGTCATTCACTATTGCTCATCAAAACATTTTTCTGATGGCTGCTTTAAAAATCTTAGATAATTTGAATGTCTTTGTCACCCAGCATGGGCATCTGTTAACTGTCTTTCTCCTTCAGTTGGATGTCACCCTGATTCTTGGCATCCTGAGTAATTTGAGTTGGAATCTGAACATTTTGAATACAATGTTATGAGACTCTGAATCTCTGCAAGAACACTCTTAGAACTGATTAACACTTCTAGCTAAGTTGCAGTGTACAAAATTAACATAAGAAAATCAGTAGACTTTCTATGTACCAATAACAACATGCTGAGAAAAAGATCATAAACACACTCTACTCACAATAGCCTAAAAAATATCTAGGAATAAATATGACCAAAGAGGTTAAGGACGTCTACAATGAAAAGTTTAAAAATCTCTAAATAAAGAGATTGAAGAAGTCACTAAAAGATAGCATGACCTTTTATGTTCATGCATTGGTAGAACTAATATTGTGAAAATGACTGTCCTACCAAATGTAATTTACAGAGTCAATGCAATCCCTGTAAGAATCCCTATGACCTTCTTCATAGAAAAAGAAAAAACCAACAAAAACAAACGTCCTGAAGTTCTTATGGTAGCACAAAAGATCCCAGATAGCCAAAGCCATATTGAGCAAAAAGAATAATACTGGAGGGATTACCATACCTGCTCTCAAGTTATGCTACAGAGCTACTGTAATCAAAACAGCATGATACTGGCACAAAAAATAGACACAAAGATCAATAGAACAGAATAGAGAACCACCTGATTTTTGACTAAGATACTAATAATACACACTGGAGAAAAGGTATCTTCAACAAATGGTGCTGGGAAACCTGGATGTCGATGAGTAGAACAAAACTAGACCCTTATTTCTCACCCTGAATCTTATGTCTTACCTGGTTAATTTTCTTTTGCACAGCTTGGACAGAAGGATAGGAGGCAGGGTGATCACCTCATCATGGACAGCTAGGGGTGAGTATCCAGTTGCCTCTTGCTCTCTATTGATATCACTTTGAGGGAAGGACCCCTTGCTAATGCTGAGTGGGGATGAGAGTTCTTGCTTGTCACTTAGCTCAGGTTGCAAACCTGACTTTTCAGTCGCCGTCTGACACAGCTACAGTGGAGTGGAGTCCTTCGCTGCTTTCGGATGAAAGCTTCCTAGATGGTCTCCACTGACACCACACATACGGTGGTGGTTTGGTGGTGGGGGAAGCTCATTACCTCCTGGAAGGGATCAAGGCCCAGCTCCATAACCATGTTATCACATGTTTCACCCCATCAGAGGTTGTGGTTGGTGTGAGTTTCCTCTTTATGGCCTGTGAGTAGCAGTCCCAGCTCCCAAGTGGTCTCTGTCCTGGCTCCCATGTGGTCTTGGTCTTGGCTCCCACGTGGTCTTGGCTGCTTCTCTGTGATGCACAGCTGCATCAGGGTGATCACCAGGCATTTCCTTTCTTGCTCGGCTGCTCCTTTTCCGGTGCGGTTCCCTGAGAAAGCAAGCTTTTGTTGGGCATGTTTGGCTGTACTGGTTGGCTTTGCCTGGTTGCTGCTTCTTCCAGCACCCGGTTTGAGTGTGGAGTCTAAAAGAAAACCAAGGACTTGTCAATCCCAAGGGTTTTAATTTTATTTAGAAGGAGGACAGGGGAGAGGTCATTTTGTTTCATTGTCCATCTTCACTAATCTTTACTTATCAAAATATAAAGACTTTTCTTTAAAAATAAATTTGAAAGTACAGGCTGCACAGAATAAAATGAAGTAAAGCAAAAATGAAGGAAACTTAGATGTGAACATTGGCAATAATGGTTCATCAAGTTGTTTTGGAAAACTTTTCCATCATTTGAACTTCAAACCCCACTAAACAGAAACAATGCTTCTTTGCATATAGACAGCTGTATTCCTTAAGAACATTCTCATCCTCATTCTGGTGAATTCTTCTAGAAACCCTGTGAGGGAGGGAGGGAGGGCAAATGTGATGCTAATTTTATAGAAAAGAGAACAGTACTGCATAAACTGGGACAAAACATAGGTTCTATCAAATATTTACCTTTAAAAATTGGAATATTTGTTTTCTTACTGTGAAATGAGCAATTCTCTTTTGTAGAAAAACATAAAATCCAATGTTAACAGAAGCTGTCTTCCCTATCATCTAAAACCAGAATATTTTACTTGCTCCAATGCTTCCAGGTTGCAACCATGAGAACACTTGTTTGGAATCAATGAGAGGGTTGGGATTTACTGTTTTTCTGCCCCTTTCAAACACACGGCTCCATAACTCCTCCAACTCATGAATCATGCTTTGAAAGTCCTGAGTTATATTTTGAATCCTCATCTGGACCCAAGCTGGAGAAATGGCCTCTCTTTTTAGTTTCAGATTTTTTTTCCATGCAACTGAGGCCAAGCCCCACAGCGTCTTTCTCCACCTGCTTGTGCACATGTGGCACACCAGGACGTAGGAGCCGTTCTGAGGAGTATGTTATGATGCAAGAGCATCAATGGCATTATTCTGACCCTGAATTAAAGACAGGAGTGCACTGTAGTAGAGTCTTTCTTGGGTACAAAATGATCTCACAGGATGGGAAAACTCCTGGGGTCTGAGTCTCTCTCATTTGCCTACATCATCCTGCAAAAGACATAGAGAGAGGAACTAGGAATGGGCTTTCTTTTGAAGACACAGAATGGAGAACTCCTGTTTAGTTTGTTGCTGTGTGAAAATTTAAGGGACTCAAATATAGAATCTACTACAAAGGAGGTTATAGGAAAAATAATATATTACATTAAAGTATAAGACATTTGGTACGTGCCTGTAATCTTAGTTACTCAAGAGGCTGAGGCTAGAGGATTGCAATTCGATGCCAGCTTGGGTTACAGATTGAGTCTGAGCTAAGCTCAGCAATTTAGGGAGACTGTGTATTAACTAAAGTAAGAAATTACTCAGTGACAGAATGGTTACCTAACATGTACATGGCCCAAGGTTTCTTTCTCGAAACCATACCTTAACAAGCTAAAGTCATGCTAGAGAAGGATGTATTTGCGAGTAAGGAACTGCAGGCTGGCAGAGCACAACCCTGAGTTGAGGGACTCGGCAATGGCCCAGCAATTGACCCGGGAATGGTGTAGAAAATTCATTTCCCCAACTAAGCAAACCCAGACTCCCTGTTTACTCATCTGATGCTCATCAACTTTGTCTAAGGATACTTCTCAGGGCAAGGACACCCATCTTCACCCTCAAAGAACTCCTGGTCCAGCTGAGGATGCCACAACCAGTAATGAGAAGGCGAGAACTACCAAGCAGGTTGTACACACAAGCCTCTGTTTCTGTGAATTTTGGACGAGGCTGGCCCTGAGATTTATAAGGGGAAAGCAAGAAGTACTGGCACAAGGTTGGTCTCCACCTTATGCCGAGGGGCAGAGCATAAAGGTGACCATTGTCAAGGAAATGTTTCCAGAGTGTGGGAAAGGAAGCCCAGGAGGAAGGGTGTGTGAGACTGAGAGGACTTGGCTTGCAGTGGTCAGAGGGGAGAGGAGTCACATGAGGGAGGAAGGGCTTTGGAACATGAAGCCAGCACTGGAGCCAAAGATGGATTGCAAAGAAGAGACCTGCTTCAAGTGGTGACAGGTCGTTTATTTTGAAAGAAATGTGCCCTTCGTGTTTCAACAACAAGCCTCCAAGGGGGAATAATTAGTTTGAATCCTCTTGAGCTGTTTACAATTAATATGGATAAATAAATGTCTAACATCCAAATTTAGCCAAGTCCAAAGTCTGTCAACCCTTGGGATTTCCCTAATGTAATCCTGAAGTCATTAGTCAACATCCTCCAAGCATCTTCTGAGTCCCTCCACTGGATTATACTCAGATGTGGCCTAAACCATGTGCAGACCTGAAAATATTCTGCCCCCTTTACTTGCAGAGAAGAAAATAGTTCACAATGTTGAAATGCTACTTTGCTCAACATTTTTCAATTTTGTGTCATGTTTTTGTAAACATTATAAAAACCCTTTGGTGTCTTACCTGCTAACCCTGTAGGGAAGATGAGAGAATTCCACAGAGGGACAACTGAGAAGTTTAAATAATGTTAGAAGGTGCTTGATTGGGTTTGCTGCAGCATTCACAACCATGGGTGCCCTGAAGACTGCATCTTACAATATAGGGCAGGCTATAGAAGACAGAGGGTCTCAGAGCTTGCTGATTTGGTAGTCAGACAGGGTTGTATGTGATCTACTCCACAACTCCACCTTCAAGTGACCCTTCCAGAGATGTATGCTCATGTCACTCCTTGCTCTGCCCTTTCTGTTAGATGGTAAGTTTGAACATCAAATCCCGAGTCCAGGTGGGGTGCACATTCTCTAAGGTCCCTCCAGAGTACGATTCTTTGATGACTCTATTCCCAATATCTATCCCACGTCAGTTCAAGTTTTCTGGCCCATACTTGTTTCTTCTAAACATGGACCGAGATCTTCTTTACCAGTTCTACAGTTTTGGGTAGGAACACTGGGAACCCTGGAGAGGTGGTAGCACAGAAGGTAGTACATAACAACCGTTCTAAATCTCTCTCATTTCAATGTATCTCCTCCTTTGCCCAAATATGTGATTAAGCCGAGTTTTCTGGGAAGTCTCTCTGTAGGGAAAAACCATACTAAGTGCTGAAGAGGTGAGAGAAAGACCCACTGTACAGGAAATGCTCACAGACCCAAAGGAAGAGGAGACAAGGCCAGTTACTAACACACCATGTGAGAGTCTGGCATGGGCTAACTGCTAAGCCAGGCTGAAGCACCTCTGAGCACTGTGTAAAGGTGTTCTTAGGAAGGCAGCTCACAGAGGAATGAGCCTGGGTCAGGGGCCTGCTATGATGGCAACTTCTGGGTTGTGGCTATTTTGAACCTGCTATCTCTTTGTCTTGAAAATACATGCAATGCTTCCCTTCTTCAGCAACCACACTGGCTGCCATAGTACCAACTTCTAGCCATTCTAAAGAATAGGATTGGCACAGCCAAACATTAGGCAGACCCTGGAGAGTCCTGTGGAAGAGGGGGAAGAAGGATTACGGAAGCCATAGAGGCCAAAGACACCACAAGAAACCCCACAGAATCAACTATTCTGGGCTCATAGGGGCTCACAGAGACTGAACTGACAACCAAGGAGCCTGCATGGGACTGATCTAGGCCCTCTGCATACATGCATATATATTACAGTTGTGTAGCTTGTTCTTCTTGTGGGACTCCTAACAGTGAGAGCAGAGTCTGTCTCTGATTCTGTCACCTGCTTTTGGAACCCTTGTGTCATTCAGCCTTAATAGGAGAGGAGGTGCCTAGTCTTACGGCAACTTGATATGTCATGGCTGGCTGAAATACATGGGAGGACTACCCTTTTCTGAAGAGAAAGGAGGAGGAGTGGGTGGGGGCAGGAAAGGCAGAGGGTTGGAGGCAGGGACTGGGAGGACAGCAGACAGGGAAGGAAAACTGTGATCTGGCTGGGAAAATTAATTAATAATAAAAAGAAAAAAATAAGGGTGGTTGTTCATCCGTCCTCTGGTCACATCTACCTCAGGCAGTCCATCCTTCCTACTTCCAGTTCAACCTTCCTGCACTGAGGAAATAAGGTCAGTTTCTTTGGGTGCCTTAGTATATTTTAACTTATTCCAGTTGTTATCCATTTCTTTGGCAAAAGTAAAGGCAAGGATTAAGATGCCTCACAATGATCTGATGAAATAAAGTTAAAAATTGAGTGTATTAGGGCCAGGTGGTGGTGGCACACACCTTTAATCCCAGCACTTGGGAGGCAGAGCCAGGTGGATCTCTGTGAGTTTGAGGCCAGCCTGGTCTACAGAGCAAGATCCAGGACAGGCACCAAAACTACACGGAGAAACTCTGTCTTGAAAAACCAATAAAAGAGTGAGTGTATTAGTTTCTTAGGACTCCCTCAGCAAAATGCCAGGAGCTGGTAGCTTAGCACAGGAATTTCTCTCTGTTTTTCCTCAGGGTGGAATCAGATGTCTCTTGCTTGTCCCTTTCTAGCTTCTTGAATTCCTTCCTGGCACTCTTTTATTCCTTGGCAGGTGACTGCATACTTTGATATCAGCCTCCATTATGGTATGGCTCTTTCCCCTTTCCGAGATCTGTCTCCTCATCCCTTTCCCCTTCCTCCTCTTTTCTTGTGAGTGAGTGTGTGTGTCCTGATTAGTTTTGTTGTCAACTTGACACACTTGGGAAGAGGAAATCTTCAGTGAAGAATTTCCTGGATGGTACTGACATGTGGGCCTGTCTATGAGGCATTTTCTTATTATTAATTGATGTAGGATGGACCAACCACTGTGGGTAGTGCCATCTCTGGGCAGGTGAGCCAGGGCTCTGAAAGAAAGCCAGCTGAGCATGAGCCTGTGAGGGAGCTAGATGGAGAAAAGTAAGCAGTGTTCTCCTGGGGTTTCTACTTCAAGTTCTTGCCTTGGCCTTCCTTGACAATAGACTATAACCTGTAATCCAAATAAACCCTTTCCTCCCCAACTCAGTTTTGGTCAGTGTTCTATTACAATAACAAAATGTAACTAGAACAGCATGCATAGGGATAGGTGAGTGTGATGGACAGTGGTCAGTTACTCTCCATCTTATGTTTTGAGACAGAGTCTCTCAGGAAACTTGGAGTTTGCTGATTCAACTTGGTTGGCTGGGCAATAAGCCCTTGGGATCCTCCTGACTCTGCCTCTCTAACCTCGAATTATAGGTGTGTCCTACATTCTAACCTTTCCACATGAATGCTGGGGATCAAACTTAGGTCCTCATGTCGACATGTCAAGTATTTTACCAATCGAGTTATCTCCTTAGGCCCTTTCTTCTTTTCTTTTTTTCCTCTCTCGTTTCTCTTTCTTTCTTTCTTTCTTTCTTTCTTCCTTTCTTTCTTTCTTTCTTTCTTCCTTCCTTCCTTCCTTCCTTTTCCTTCCTTCCTTCCTTCCTTCCTCTCTCTCTCTCTCTCTCTCTCTCTCTCTCTCTCTCTCTCTCTCTCTCTTTTCTTCCTTCCTTCCTTTCTTTTTTTTAAAGACAGGGTTTCTCTGTGTAGCCCTGGCTGTCCAGGTACTCACTTTGTAGACCAAGGTGGCCTGGGACTCAGAGATCCACCTGCCTCTGCTTCTGGGATTAAAGGCACATGCCACTACCACCACTTAACCCTTTCTTTTCTTATGAGGAAAAAATAATTGGATTTAGGCATAGCCTAATCTAGTGTGACCTTGTCATTTTATCTGAAAAACCCTATTTTTAGACTCCTTTTTCCTGCAATGACAGGGATTTAATCCATGGCCTTATACATTAAAGACAAGTGCTCTACCATTAAGCAACAACCCCAGCCAAAGACCCTTTTTCTAAATAAGATACATTCTAGGTTCTGGGTACATAAGAATCTTAGAGAAACACCATTCATCTTACTACAATGAGAAAACAACTGGGCAGCGGTGGCACACACCTTTAATCCCAGCACTCAGGAGGCAGAGGCAGGCAGATCTCTGTGAGTTCGAGGCCAGCCTGGTCAACAGAGTGAGATTAGGTCCCCCTAAAACTCACTTGTTGAAGTTTACTCATCAAGGTGATAGTATCAGGTGGGACATTTGGTCCATGATTGTGTCATGAAGCTTCTTGCCTTGCAAATAGGATTATATAATTAGTGTTTTATGTTCTCTGGTCTTTACCAGATACCGAATCTTGTGCCTTGATCTCAGGTTTCCCACCTTCCACAGCCATGAAATCCCCATGGTTTATAAACTGTGGTGATATTGTGTTCCCCAATATATTGTGCACCTTAATAAACTGATCTGGGGTCAGAGAACAGAACAGCCACTAGACAGACATAGAGACCAGAAAATGGTGGCACACATGCCTTTAATCCTAGTATTCTGGAGGCAGAGATCCATCCGGATCTCTGTAAGTTCAAAGCCACACTGGAAACAGCCAGGCATTGGAGACACATGCCTTTAATCCCAGGAAGTGATGGCAGAAAGCAGAAAGGTATATAAGGCATGAGGACCAGGAACTAGAGCTTGGTTAAGTTAAGCTTTTAGGCTTTGAGCAGCAGTTCAGCTGAGATCCATTTGAATGAGGACTCAGAGGCTTCCAGTCTGAGGAAACAGAATCAGCTGAGGAATTGGCAAGGTGAGGTGGCTGTGGCTTGTTTTGCTTCTCTGATCTTCCAGCATTCACCCCAATACCTGGCTCTGGGTTTGATTTTATTAATAAGACCTTTTAAGATTCGTGCTACAATAAACAAATAATTAGTGTGTCCATCTGTAATTCCTATCCCTTACCTAGGAACACTGTCAGATTCGGAACTTGAGGCTCCAGCATGGTTTGACTCCTGGATAACATCATCACTGTGAGGAGTGAGTGAGTTCCTTAACCTTACTCTCTGGGGCTCCCTTTTTGTTTTTCCTCTGAAAGATGTAATGGCAGCTGTCAGGGATGAAAAGAACTAATGCACAAGAACACTTGGTTCAGGTTGTCTTCTAGTGAGAACGAGCTGTGCATTGCTGACTGGGTGGCGTCAGGGATGCAGATGGTAAAGGTTGCTACAAAGTTGTGTAAAGAACTTCCAAAGGCATGGAAAGTTCTGCTTGGAGCCTAGGGAAAGCTTCAGGGACCATTTGAACAGTGAGCACATGCTGGGATCTGCAGGCTACGGTTTATCCTGTAGGTCTGGCTTTGAGCAAACAGGATCAGTAGAGTTTATATGGAGCTAGAAAACAGGATAAGAAGTGTGTGGGATGATTGGAAGATACTTGGGCCAAGCAGTAGACATTGGGGTGAAGAATGGTCACTTGTGCTCAAAGTACCAGCTCATGTGGGGGCCCTAGGAGCTCAGGTCCCCCAAGGGAGAGGCATTTCTTGGTCTCTATAGGAGGTTAAGCCAGCCTGGACAGTGCTCTGTGCTTGCCTTTTCTTATGCCTGTTGGCTTTCAACCCCATTGTAAATCCTAGTTTGCTTTGATGTGTCTCAACCACTTCCTCGTTCCATTTGGTAGAAGCACGACTGCCCACTGCCAGGCTGAACACTTACCTCAGATGTTGCTTGCCAAATGCCGAGTTTTACAACCTTGTATCATACATGTCTCTGCCCCCGCACCTCTTTATCTATAAGCAGGGTTATATATGTGACTCTGTGTCTGGTCCACTCTGACCCCTGGATCATTTCCAGCCTGTGTCTGGGGTCCACAGGCATTCTAAATCTTGTCCAGTCCTAATTTGTGTCTTTCTTCTCAGCAGGGCATCCCAGTGGGCTCCTCCAGTACTGCTCTGTATCAGGGATGTAGCAGGCTGCTCTCCCCTCCTCAGCTACAAACCATAAAATTAAGAACGGCAAGATTCTCTTGATTAATTTCATTCGAATGACTTTAAATCCATTGACTAAAATGCCTGTTTAAATCATTCATTTTTGCAAATGTATTTGTAAATAATACTTAAAAAACACTTCATCTAATTATTTTTACCACAGCTGAATGTTAACAGATTGAAGATGAGATTTATGTTTAGACAGCATTAAGGTACTAATTTTTTCTCAACAATAGGCACTGCAATTGACAAAATTAAAACAGAAAATGTAGACCAACAAAAAATTAATTTGCACCAGGCTTAATAGTTTCTCTAAGTAAATCCAGCCACTCCTTGGCTGCCTCAGAAAAGCCATAAAATTTTCTGAGGAGAATCTGGCGCTGAGGATTCCACACTAATTACGTTTCCTCCCCCTTTACCTCGCCCCCTTTCCTTTCTCCCAGAACATGCAGTTTTCATATCCAAAATGCTCTGGGCTCTGCTGGGGTAAGGAAGTCAGGGGAGGCAGGGGCAGGCTGCGAACCACATAAATAAATGGGAATTTCCATGTAGACATGAGGCTTTTCTTTCTTCATTTTTTTCTTTAAAAATGAGAATAAGGCACGAGTATAAATTCCAAAAAGAACAATTTATTTAAGTCTATCATTTTTGGCAACACAATAGAACACACGTCGGGTGAGCAGTCACAAATCACTTCCCTTTCCACTGTCTGTGGGCTCCACCATATGTTGTGGGGGGGGGGGTACAATTCACATGCTAAGTTTTGCTTTCTTTCCATGTGAGAGAGCATACTGAAATTTCAGCAGCTTGCCAACCCAGCCAACATTTTGGGACAGTGATGGTGTAACAGAGGAAATAGAACCGACCCTGCAATCAGAATATTTTTAATTATGCAGTTATTTGTTTTAATACCCAGAGCTTGTAATGTAAGGATCAGCACATTCTTCTGGATTCCCTATTTACAAGCTCTCGATTAGCTCTTGAGGCTAATAGGGATACTTACCTCTTCCTGTCTAGTTTGGTTTCTGGGAAGATGTCATTCAAGTTGCCTGTGGTCACACAATCAAAAGGAATTATATAATGTCTTAGCTTGAACCGCTCCTCATATGTGGCAATTCGGACCTCTGATTGACACAGGAGCTCAGAAAGGCTCTTCATGTGCCCCTTCTTGAGCATCCACTGAGCAATGTTTATCCTCTAGCCTAGAAATCTTTGGGGTGTTAAATATTTTGCATAGCTATCCACCAAGCTTGCCTTGGCTGTGTTGGCCTTGGGATAAGCCTGGAAAATGGTTGGTCATTTCCCAGGTTGAATAGCCAACCTGGAGCTGAGAAATGGGGACTTCAGGCAGTTAGCATTCTTTTGATCTGAGGTATGATCTTCCCAAAGCTACCCAAGAAGTGTTTTTTTTTTTTTTTTTTTTTTAAGCAAGTTTATGCCAAGCCATCTTGGGGTCATTAACTGATCAGTGTATGTTCTGTCAATCTTTCTTAGTTCAGGTTGTCACTTTTGTACAAAGGGTCTCTATCCTTCCCCATGACCAGGGAGATGTGAGTCTGAGGTATGTACTTGGTAGAAAGGTTACAGTATTACATGTTTCCTGTGGACACACTTGTTCACCTGTGATAGGTAAAAAGTGTTGGTGGATAGGCTGGAAAGATAAGGGTGATTGCTGTCAAATCTGACAACCTGTGTTTAGTCCCCAGAACCCACATGATGGAAGATAAGAACCAACTTCCTCAAGTTGTCCTCTTACTACTACATGGCATGTTCATATTCTCCACCCTCAAATAAATAGATGTTAAAATAAGAGTGAGTTGGTGGAGTGAATAAAGGTGACTGTAAGGCAAACAACCCATCCTAAACCTAAATTGGTACTCAGTGTTCATCCATTAAACCGCACCTCCCTATATCCACACACCCAGAGAGACTGAGCTTCAGTCATTCTTCATTGCCCACTTACTCGTCATAAAATGACAGGTGGGCATTCTTTGTGTTATAGCTTTTGTGATCTCCGGGCCCAAGTACACAGTACAGATGTGCCGAGGAAACAGGACTTCTTAGAGACATTCAGAGCTGACTCAGTATGAGGTCAAATATTTTATTAAGCCCTGCTCTTTTAGTTGCTTAAGAAAAGAAAAAGAACTTGTGTTTTCATTTATAGCATGACAGTGTTTGAAACAGTATTTGAAACAAGTGTTTTGGTCCGTTACCATCAAACCCCTATGAAACTTAAAAATGAGAGAAAAAAAAAAACAAAACAAAACGTTGTTTTTGGTTCTTGGGAGTTCTAAGAACAAGTTAAAATAGTAATTTTGCCTCGCTAAACTGTGCATCAAACTCTTCCTTTGAATTAAAGTGAAAAGATGTGGAAAAAAACATAAGCCGTGTGTCCCTGTTTGACTCTAAATGAGCTTTCAGCCTGCTTCCTACAGCCAGTTTTAGCTTAAGCCGCCTTATTGCTAAAGCCTGTAACTTGATACTAAAAGCTTGTCAAAATTAAGTGCATGCTTTATAAGTTTACATTTTTACAGTCTAACTGTTTTTCTTTGATATTTGACAGGGACACAGGTTCCCATGTCATCTGGCTTCAGTACTTTCAGAACTTTCTCCTGGGCCCATATGAGGGAGCTCAAGGTTGTAGTGAGTTATGGAGCCCTTAAGCTGCCTGCCCAGCAGCCGGTCCTTGGCCTGCACTTGAGGGCTAACACCTGTTGGCTGGACAGAGCAATTAATTTCTTAAAAAAATGTGGTAAGCTGCCAGTAATCAAAGCTAAAAGGATAAAAAATATAATTTTACCTCTTGAGCTTCCAGAAGTGGCCTTTGATCTTTCCCAGTGCCCTTGGGACAGCAGGCCCAGATCTGCAATATTCTTCACAAAGAAGCATCTTTAGAGGACACAGACAATGAAGTGCTGGTAGTACCCACCCCCAATATCATTACTTTTGTGTAGTTGTTCACACTGAGATTGAACAGAGACAACCTAAATTCTTGTCTACTAAATGTTGGTATTTAGGAAAGCTTATATTGGAAGGCCTTAAATTATGCCCCAGTCCATTCCTTGCAAGAGCAAATGTTGGTTGAGTTTTCTGGTTGATGGTTATAATGTATTTGTTGTAGGATGTCTGCATGTGAAACAGATAACTGTGAACTTCAAAGTGCTAGAGTACCAACTGTGGGCTGGGGCTTGGCCACACATACAGCCTCCCTCATGCTCCAGACCCTTTGGTAGTCAAGACAAGGTCACTGATCAGGGTAATTTGCAGGAAAAGTCAATTTCTCAAGTACCAAAGCAGGTGCTGTGGCACTCTATGACAATTTACTGAATCTAAATTGAGGAAGTTGAAAAAAGCAAAGGTCACGAGCCACAGGAAGAAAGGAGAAAAGAAAATCCCTCTGACTGTATTTTTAACTCCTCTTCCACTAAGATGCACTTGCAAGCTGAGGCGATTAACACCAAAAATAAATAAATGAGAATCACAATCTCTTAGTCTAATCAGACGTATCTGATTTCTTTAAATAAAATAGGGGGATTTTGTGTTTGCCTGAATTCACAAGGAAATAAGATCAATTTATAAGAGTTAAAGAGTAGTTCTGCTCATTAGTGATTGAGGCAAAAATCAAACCAAGATGTCAGAATTTTACATCTTTAAAAAAAAAATCACACACAGGGTTGTTGATTCAGTGGTGGAGCACTTAACTTGATGTGCGAAGCTCTAGATTCATTCTTAACACTCCCAAAAATATCAAACAGATATTATATGGTTAAATATATGAAGCACACTACTTAGCATAAGAGTATAAAGTATACATTGTGGCTTAATATATGATGAACACACAGTACACCCTGAATATTTTTATTGTAAATTAGTATATTCTCCACTTCCCCAGCACTATGGATATAGAACCCAGTGGGTAAGAAATACTTGCAGGATAGGAAGACAAACAGACACTGGAATCTATAATGTGTTTGGTATAGCAAGGATCACCAGGGATGGAAAAGTTAGAAGAACTTGAATTCTAGCTAATCACTCATTGCATTATAATTGCATAAAATTATTAAATCATTTTAAGTCTCTATGTTTCTCACCTGCAAAATTAAAGGTTTATTGTAAGGATTAAATGAGTGTATATGCATAAGTGTCTGTAGATAAGCACCTAACAATTATAAATACTCATTGTCACTATTAGCCCAAAAGGCGGATTGTGCTGTGGGCTCTGCGCCCCACATTGTACCTGAAGCTTTATAGGTGTTTATAGTTCGAAAAAGTGAGTTAATTTGAAGAAATATGTCAAGTAAGTCATGGTATGGATGAAAAAAGATAGAAGTAAAGTGAAAAAGCCTGACATTTGGGGGGAATCTTTCCAGATTTAAGTTCTTCTTGGGAAGAAGGGGAGAAGAAATGGAGACATGAAATTCTCCACTGATATTTTATATTCATGAAAATATTCTTTAATGTAGAATCTCTATCTATCTATCTACATCTATCATTTATAATTTTTCATCTGTCATCATCTATCATCTGTCATTATCTATCACATATCCTATCTATCTATCTATCTATCTATCTATCTATCTATCTATCTATCTATCATCTACCATCTATCTATTTATCATCAATCTATTTGTAGGTATGCATTTTGATCCTGGTCTTCACATATCCAAGCTGGCTTAGAACTTGGTATGTTGCTGAGGGAGACCTTGAAATTCTGATCCTCCTGCCTCCACCTCCCAAGTACTAGGATGCACCACCACCCTCTGTGTATGTGCTACTGAGGATCAAAC